AATTTATGCAATGGATGGACCCCTCCATGGCCAATAGGAGAGTAATCCATGTAAGAATAACATAGTTTGCACAGCAGGATTTAAATTGATATAACATGGAGAAAAAGTTTACATTTATGAACTCTGGGCAGCGTAATAATTAATTTTCTTTCCTCAGGAATATTTGCCTGTGCCTGCAGGGAACTGCTGGCCCCTGGCAGGTCAGAGTGGGGTTGTAATCATCTCACTGTTCCACCCAGTCTCCATCACTGCTTTGACACTGGGACATCTCCCAAAACACCAGTCGCCTGATGGAACCAACAAAATTAATTGGCATAAATCAGAGGCGATGCCAGTTTCCCAAACCTGTAGTCTAACCTAATATTGGGGATATTATGGCTAACAGTATGGGAACATCGTCACTGTCTTTTTCTTTCTTTTAGATGGAGGAAACAGTTGCGGTTGACACGTAACGTGAAAAAATGACGAATTAAAGCAACTTTGCTGACAGCGTTTACACATGCCTCTATGGCAACCGCGTCATCCCATGTTATGGGATTTAAAATAAATTAAATTTCTTAGTAAACCTTTGTGTTTGCAGCATTCAGGCCATGGTCCAGACTTCGGTCTCCTGTGTTATGGTCAGATGAAACAAAAATTGAATTGTTTTGTCACAATGATGTTTCCTTCATTTGGCGTAAAAAAAAGAAGCCTTCAACCCAAAGAACACCATCCCCACTGTCAAACATGGTGGTGGGAACCTAATGCTTTGGGGGTATTTTTCAGGCTTTGGCTCCATCAAACTACAAGCAGGTACATCATCTAGGTTTAACTTAAACTGCAGTATCAGGCAAGGGTGCCCCATCTCCCCATACTTATTTCTAATCTGTGCTCAACTCCTCTCTGACTATATTAAACACAGTCCTCTGAAAAGTATAACAATTGCGGATAAAGAAATATTAATTAGTCAGCTTGCTGATGACTCTCTTTTTAAAAAACGCTTCGCAGGTGCAGATAGCCATTAACACAATGCCTTTTCTTTAGCTTCAGGACTCCACTTAAACACTGGCAAATGTGAACTGCTTGCAGAAATTGTACCAGTCTATCTATGGCTGGCATCCCAGTGAAAGAGTCTGTCACTTACCTTGGTATCATCAATCCACCAGGTGCTCCCTTAATTTCACTCCAATTTAGCATAAAATGCAACTTAAGCTAAATGCTTGGCTCCAGCAGGATTTATCCATTATAGAGAGAGTTTTACTCACGAAAGCGGAGGGATTATCTCGTCTAACTTATGCTGCTTTGTCTCTTGATGTAAATAAAAAAACTCTGGTGGGCTTCTTTATAACTTTATATCGAAGAATAGAATTCATTATATTAAGGCTACGTCCACACGTACACGGGTATTTTTGAAAACGCAGATTTTTTATTTTTTTTTATTTTTAATTTAAATTGTTGTTATTGTTTTGGTGAAATTAATTTCTTCAATGGCAGACATAGACAAAATACAAAAATACTTTATTTAATTAATTTAATGATATTACTGGCTGAATTTCATATACATCTAAATTTTATAAAGCAAAACCATCCTTTCAGTGCTATTTAAATGAAACCAAACATTATATTAAAACCATACAACATTCCCAAAATGTAAAAGCTGTCAAAACTATAAACTTATGTTCCCTGTTCAATATTATGTGATTCTTTTCTAGACTGTATCTATTTGTTCTTTTACGAAACCCCCCAACATTGTGTTTTGTTAAGTTATATTTGTGTTTTGTGAATAAAGCTTATTAAAAAAGAAAAAGAAAGTTCCTTGCTTATCTCATCCTTATCTAATTCTTCTTTTAAATACTTACCTGCAACAAAATCCCAGTTTCATCATATCAATCATTCTCTTATCCTTGGGTATGTTGCTATTCCAGCTACCACACTTTGGACAGGTCCCCAGTCTGTCGCAAAGCTAACACGCAAAGACCGACAACCCACATTTCCACCTATGGGTTCTTTAAAAAAAAAAAAAAACCATATATATATATATGTGTGTGTGTGTGTGTGTGTGTGTATGAACAGCCATTGATACCAGACAACTATAAAATATATATGGCTTTGTAATTAAGAAAAATTTAGTAGACACAATTACCACAGCATCTGCAAAGCAGGTAGTGTAGATAAACACAGCTTAGCTTGCTATATCCATCTTGGCTATTAACTCTTGCAGCACTGGGTGTTCTGAATTTTGGTTCCAACGAATTGCTAAACCTTTTGAAGCCAATTGGCTCACATAGTTGTGTAGATATCCCAGTCCCAATAAACATATTCAATGCTTCCTCTCGCTTGTGATGTTCCTGTGAATTGACCAACCAGTAGCCATGGGGTCGCCGCTGGAAGCACTGCATTAATGTTTTTTGTGGCGTTGTCTCGGGATGCATCACGCTGCCTTGCCTGGGGTTAGCTTCTGTTTCTGGGGATGAGGGTTGGGCGTGCTCCCTTACCTTCTCAAGGTGCAAGCTTTTCAAGTGCACTTTAAGGTTTGTGGGATTTTTTTCCCTTTAGAAATATCCCCCATATTTTGTCTCTTTCCACTACAAGACACTTGCTTTTATCTAAAACACAGTCATATTCAAAGTAATCCCAAATTGGAGCAACGTACTTGCCACCTGCTGGCATAATGAGACACAGCAAGAAAAAACCTGGAAACTAAACTTCATTTTCACCCTAGACTATTTTCGTTATAAATTTAGTTAATTTTAGTTAGTTTTGTGAACATTCATTACGGTTTTAGTTAGTTTTCCTTTTTTCACAAAGTCTCCTTTTTATTTTTATTTCCGTTAATGAAAATGTTTTTTCACTTCTAGTTTTCGTTATTTCGTTAACGGTAATAACCTTGGTACCAGGCACGTGCAGAGGGGGGGCTAGAGGGGCTTGAGCACCCGCCCCTTTCCTGATGGGTGCCCAAAGTGCCCTTTTGTTGAGTGCCCCTCAACAATAATATTTAACTATTAATCACAGTTTTGCTAAATAAAAGGATCTGGCTTGCATCAGTCACATGATCACATTTAACCAATGATCGCCCTTGACGGCAGAACGCGCTGGTTACGAGCCGGGAACGAGCTCACAAAGAGCACGCGCATTTTTTGCGGTCCGGAGCTGTAGGAGAAACACAAGTTAACTCAGAGACACAGACTGATGCCACAAAACCAGTAAGTAGGTGTACAGCGCACACTGTAGTGTATAGCACCCAGGAGTATTAGCTTATTACGTACACGTTGGTAAGCTGTCTTGTTGCAACTGACGAACTGAAACAAACGAGCGTGCTGTGCAACAGCGCGACAAACATTACCTGTCCTTTTATTAACTGCACAAGTAGTGCTGGTCACAGCTGCTGGCTACCTGGCTGTCATGGGTCTGTAGCTCTGTCACCGTTTTAGGGAACATATTTAGTTTTAAAGTATTTAGAACATATTTAGTTTGAAAGTAAGTTTCCGGGCTTTTCCTGCCTTTCTGGAGGGATTATATTTCACTAAAAAACGATCTAATATGCATGTCCACATAATAATTATTATAATTATAATATATTAAAAAACACACGCTGTATTTTAAAGAACATACATTAAGAAGCAGATTATATTAGATTTATATTTTAAATAAGACAAAAGTTGGATTTTACAGCAGTAAAATGATTGTATCTCTACAGTTTAAAAATGTAATAAGCTTTGCCCCTGCACAGGGTGGATAGTGAAACAAATGGAATCATCATAATGACATTATTTCATATTTATTACTTCCCCCTCCTCATTGCTTTATTATTGTAGCTCTAGTAATAAATAATAATGTAAGGATTCTGGATCAGCACCATGATGCCCATAGTATATACAGTATTCTGAAGAAGGTCTAAAATGTCACTGTGTGTGCGTGCGTGCGTGTGTGTGTTTTATGTATATGGATTATTTTAAATTATTACTCATGATATAACATTGTCCAGACATGGCTGGTAAGGACATGAGGAGGAAACAGTAGGAGCTGTGTGAGGCTACTAAAGGCAGTGCTATAACATTTTTCTCTCATCATTTTATTATAGATTAAGTGCAAGAGTTGTTAGGTGTGGATAATTAAATTATAGTTTATTGCAATAGCAAGTTGTGCCTTGTTCTCAGATAGACAGCAAGTGGAGAGTGATATATGAAAAGATGGGATGGAAGGAAGAAGAGAAGCAAAGAGTGATTCACAGGCAGAGCCTAAGCGCTGTCACCAATCTTTGCATTTAGTTATTATCTCATGACACTTGTTTAATCAGCTACCATCTCTCCTATGGACTTTTTAATGTCTACAGTCTCAGATCAACACAGCCCTGCCCTCCAGCACTATCCACAGCAACCCCTCAACAGCAACATTGTACCCATCAGGTAAAACATCGGCTACGTTTGCTTTGCCTTGTTGCCCATATTAGATTCTTGATGAATGTGTGTTGTTGTTATTCAGCCTGGCTCAATGTGCCCCTTTTTAGCTTTAAGCACCCGCCCCTTTAAACCTCTCTGCACGGCCCTGCTTGGTACCGACAATGTAATCTTCACCTGTAGAATAAGTCTTTAAACTTGTGTGTCATCTTTTAGGGTCTTCTGTCAGAGAAAATACAGGAGACAAGATCCCTTTATGAACCCTCACACACAGCAAAGTAAGGACCACTACTCAATTTTAACATTATTTAAAATGGAAGAAGAAGATTCTGTTATCAAACTGTAAACTCACCTGTGGTTCTCTCTTTGCAGACAAAACAAGATTTTTAAAGCACATCATCACTTTCTTGATGCTGCCCATTCTGACTTTTGGTGAGTGACTCAGAACCTTCTGATTCTATACTGTCAGACAGTCCTTTCTAACACACAAGTAAAACTGGCCCATTTGTACTCACATCCACCCCTAACCTCTCTACTTTGTGTCTCCCAGGAATTGTGAGCTACACAATTTTCACCAAAAGCAAACAATTAGTAACGTACGTCTCTGAGGCAACAGATGACAGAGGTTCATCCTGTGGCAGACACTCTGCCAAATTTCACCTCAGAATCTCAAGGTAAGGATCTTCATCTGTTTCATCATTTATACATGAATGTACACAAAGAACACAAATAATTTGTCTGTGATTTGTGTGAATTCAGGAGTCATGATCCTAAGCGACGTCTCCTCGTGGACATACTTGCCTAGAGAGAACTCTGCAAAGTGGTGGTTGTGCAAATTTATGCAGTGGGTGGACCCCACCAGGGCCAAGAGGAGAGTAATCCAAGTAAGAATGACATAGTTTGCACAGCAAGATTTAAATTGATATAACATGGAGAAAAAGTTTACATTTATGAACTGTATACACACATGGCCGCCACAGCCACCAGGTCCAACTCCAGGAGGATGTCCTGGAACAGGAGATTCACATCATGGATGTTCAGCCAACAAATCTGCAGGAGCTTTGTGTGATCAAAATCTCAGAGGAAGGTACCCAGCTCCTTGTTGAATCTGTGCCACAAAGATTAAGCTGGCTCTGGAGGCAACAGTAGGCCCAACCCAGTACTAGTAAGGTGTACTTAATAAAATGCCCGGTGAGTGTAAAACTGCAGTATAGTATTAGTCAAGCTTTATTTATTTATTTATTTATTTATTTTATTAAGCTGTTTTTTTTTTATTTTGTGCATTTTTTTTAAGATGCGGTCGGGAAAAAGTTGCGGGTGACAGGTGATGTGAAAAAATGACGAATTATAGCAACTCTGCTGACAGTGTTTACACGTGCTTCCATGGCAACTGCGTCAGACAGAATGTTATTGGATTTGAAAAAAAATAAATTTATTAGTAAACCTTCGTGTTTGCAGCATTCAGCATACTCAGCATACTCAGATACCTGTGATTGCAGCGAGAGAGAGAAAAAACGACAAGCATACACTGATCCACTAAAGATCAGCCAGAGACAGGTGAACACCTGATCCCTAAAGGTATGAGCTTGGTGCACATTGCTTTAAAGACTTATTGCAGCAGAGATGCAAAGATTTGTTTTACCTCCTAAGACCTGAACTCTTTCATGGCATGCCTTTTTAATTTCTCTTTGTTATTTGGGCTGTAAAAACAAAGAATTACTTTTTTTTGTTTGTTTCGACCTGATTTTTGTTTCTGAGAAAAATGAGATCCACATATGAGGACATTCACTTTAAATCTCAATGGCAGTATAATGTCCTCATAAGTGGATATCAGCCCCTTGTAGAGCAAAATTTTGCATTTTGGTCTAGACAACCCAAAATGTGTTGTGTGCACATATGTGGAGGCCAGGTCTTAGGATGTTAAATATATTGAATGATTCTAAGTAGAGAAAGTAAACAGCTTTTAATAATAAGTTTTGATTTTACATAGTGATGAATGCATCTTGTGTTTAAAGAGTGAATCACTGATCATTTTCTGTCTTTCTGCCATTTTACAGTGATGGCACGAAGAAGCCTCCGCCTGCAGGAGTCAGGCTATTATAGGGAAGACGGAGCTCCAAATATTTCATATAAAGAGACCTCATACAAGTATGTGTGTGGATGCTTTTGGGACTGCACGCTACATTCTGGATAAAACATCCTCAGGCGTACCGACGGTGTAAATCTTCACCTGTAGAATAAGTCTTTAAACTTGTGTGTCATCTTTTAGGGTCTTCCGTCGGAGAAAACATAGGAGACGAGGTCCCTTTATGAACCCTCGCATACAGCAAAGTAAGGACCACTACTCAATTTTAACATCATTTAGAATGAGAGAAGAAGATTCTGTTATCAGACTGTAAACTCCCCTGTGGTTCTCTCTTTGCAGACAAAACAAGACTTTTAAAGCACATCATCACTTTCTTGATGCTGCCCCTTCTGACTTTTGGTGAGTGAGTCAGAACTTTCTGTCAGACAATCCTTTCTAACACACAAGTAAAACCTGGACCATTTGTCCCCACATCCACCCCTAACCTCTCTACTTCGTGTCTCTTAGGAATTGTGAGCTGCACAATTTCCATAAACAGCAAGAAAGAAGCAGAAACAGCAGACACTCAGCCAATTTTTGAATCTCAAGGTAAAGATCGCCATCTTCATCTGTCTCATCATCATTTATACATGAATGTACACAAAGAAAACAAATAATTTGTCTGTGATTTGTGTGAATTCAGGAGCCATGATCCAAAGCGGGGTTTCCTCATGGACAGAGAACTCTGTGCGCAAATGTATGCAGTGGGTGGACCCCTCCAGGGCCAGTAGAAGAGTAATCCAAGTAAGAATGACATAGTTTGCACAGCAAGATTCAAAGTGATATAACATGGAGAAAAAGTTTACATTTATGAACTCTGGGCAGCGTAATAATTAATTTTCTTTCCTCAGGAATATTTACCTGGGCCTCCAGGGAACTGCTGGCCCCTGCAGGACAATTCCTGTAAATTGTCCTGCACAGAGATGAGTGGGGAGGAGTAAATGTGTTTCAAATGTTCTTTTGTACTTTTTAATGTGTTTCAAATAAATAAATTTTGTGTCTTAAAAAAGTTTTAGAACACGTCGCAGCATTTCCTTTTATGTGATATGGTTGGATCATAACGTGTTTCAAAAATAATGTTTACACCACCAAGGTGATTCCCAAAGAACCTTTAGCCATGAACCTGGCATATCTCAGGATAGTGTGCATTGTATCAATAAAATAAATCAGAAGAAACTGGACAAGTGGAGGACCTAAAAACCCAAAAACTAGCCCACAGCAGATAAACAGTACCTGAAAATCAGTGACAACGGGTCTGATGGAGAGATGAATCCATATTTTACATTTTTGGTTCAAATCATCGTCACGATATACAGACAAGTTCAGAAGAGAGGTACAACTGTATCTTCTGCTACTGTGTGTAAAACATGGTGGAGGCTCTGTCATAGAGCTGCATTTCAGCCAGTGGTGCCAGAGATTTAATCAAAACTGATTGAACTGTGAACCCAGAAAAGTACAGTCAGATTTTGATCCACCAGTCAATACCACCTGGAAATATCTGATGGTCAGAGGTTTTATTATTTTAGCATAACAGTGACCCCAAGCACACTGTCAATGCAGCAAAAACATACCTAGACAGTAAAAACACAATGAAACACTAATAAAGGTGGTCACAACCAGATACTGACTTTAAGCTTGTTTGGATCTCAGCCACTGTTCTTTCTATATTAGATAGTGTGTTTTGATCAATCTCCACCCATATCTCTTTTCCTAGCAAAAGTAAGAAATGAGAATCTGGAGATTTTTTCAGGGTACTGTGTAACAAATGTTTTTGCTAATACTGAACCTTACCCAACCTAAGAGGAGTCATATGTATAGTAATGTACACACACGCACAAAATAAACCTTTATTTGAATATAAAACGTTGTTCCATTGAAAAACAGGTCTTATGTTGACACTTTTACCTGCATATAAGACTGGAGTACAACACATGAGCTACGCCAGTGATGAGGTTGTGGTTGGCAAACTCGAGGATGAGGAGCAGGATTGGGTATTCGCTGCGTCTCTTTTCAAGGCTGAAGTCCTCACTTAAGCCCATCCAGTGAAGCAGCAGCGTCCGCATCGCTTCAGGGAACAGCTCTGTGGCTAGTTCCTCAGCAGGTGGCAGGTCGCTGATGCGCTCAATGTGCTGAAGTTTAAAGCCCTCCACCTTCTGGCTGATGCTGCTGTTGGCTGCATGAAACTGCTGGCCAAGCCAACGTCCTATACAAGTGAGCAGGCTGCTTGAATACACTGGGCCCCAGTCTTTGGCCTTTAGCAGAGCCAGCACAATCTCCGTCGCATCTTTTTCTTCAAGTCTCCCATTTATGTAGCGATCAATGTTCTCCAAAAGCAGCAAGACCGTCTCCAGCTGCTCTGAGCAGCTTCGAGGCTCCGAGGAGAACTGTTCATCCAAGCGGTGCAATTTTTGTCTCACTGTGGATATTACTACTTCTCTTTGCTCAGATTGTAAGCTCTGCTTGGGAAGAGAACAATAATCATGATCTGCTGATGTGTCAGCAGTGTCCATGCTACTAACATCTACCACGTCCTTGTCAGCCTGGAAATAAGGAGGCTGTGATATTACACCCTTTGATTGTGAGTCACGCTGGCTGAGCGACCCTGAAGGGTCCAGCTGCACGCTGAGGCTGTAACTCACTTCCAGAGGGCTGTCACTGATCTGTGCTTTCCAGACATCCTAGGGGACAGATGTGATTAAAACATGCATTGTGACAGAAAAATAAAATTATCACGTATACATGATGTTTACCTGGAAATTCTCCAGCACAGCAAGCTGATCTTGCTTACTGTACAACTCAAAGGCTACTCGAAAAAGTCCCTGAATGCTGTAGAACCACAGGCTGTTATTTGCAGAGGGTACCTTCAAGCCGTGAAACCTGAAAGCTTGAACACAATCAGGGGGATCAGTGTGACAATGTGTCTGTCCTGGTGGGTGACCTTTACCTAAAAATAAGGTGCATATCAATGCGATAGCATGAGCTTGTCTATGTTTATTTCCCCCTAGTCATATTTATTTCATTTGATTGTCTACACCCACCCCGTGGTTTTAGAGGCACAGGTGTAGTTAATGTTTAACTTCCACTGGTATGTCTGTATTTTACCTGAGGAAAAAGTTATTTTTGTTGCAAGGCCTTTCTTGGCAAACTTGGCATGGTGTCTTGGATGGTTTTCTGTACGCACATCAGTCTTTGAGAGGAGATCGGCTCCCAAATAGAGCGGAATCGTTGAACCCTGAAACAGAGAGGATGAATATAAGCCACCGCCGTATAAAGCCTGACAATAACGTACACTGCCTGACCATGTTAATGGTATACATGCTCAACTGCTCATTAATGTGAGTCTATAATAAGCCAATGACATGCCAGCACCCCAGTGCATTTGTGCATGTAGACATGACCAAGACAACCCGCTGAAGTTCAACGCGAGCATCAGAATGGAGAAAAAACATGATTTAAGTGACTTTGAATGTGACATGGTTGTTGGGACTTTAGCCACACAAACATGCTTTTACAGAGAATTTCTCTGGGTGAAAATGTCTTGATGCCAGAGGTCAAAGTAGTCTGGCCAGACTTTTGAGTTTTCAGCTGAAAGGAAGGCAAGAACCACTCAAACAACCACTCATCCCACCTAAATTATGCAGAAGAGCATCTGCGAATGGACAACATGTTGAAGCTTTTAGCAGATGGACTACAGCAGAAGAAATCCACACTGGGTGTCACTCCTGTCAGCTAAGAAAAGAAACTGACGCTACATTTTGCGGGTTTGGGTGGAGCAAAGTTTAATTTGGGACTCTTCGTGCCAACTGAACAGAATTTCAACAGGCTACTTGAGTATTGTTGCTCACCATGTCCAGCTTTTATGACCACAGTGTACCCATCTTCTGCTTCCAGGAGGATAACATAGCATGTCACAAAGCTCAAATAATCTCAAACTGGCAGCGAAAATGAGTTCACTGTACACACATGGCCGCCACAGCCACCAGGTCCAACTCCAGGAGGATGTCCTGGAACAGGAGATTCACATCATGGATGTTCAGCCGACAAATCTGCAGGAGCTTTGTGTGATCAAAATCTCAGAGGAAGGTACCCAGCTCCTTGTTGAATCTGTGCCACAAAGATTTAAGCTGGCTCTGGAGGCAACAGTAGGCCCAACCCAGTACTAGTAAGGTGTACTTAATAAAATGCCCGATGAGTGTAAAACTGCAGTATAGTATTAGTCAAGCTTTATTTATTTATTTATTTATTTTACTAAGCTGTTTTTTGTTTTTAGTTAGCTACAGTACTTATTTGTTAAACATTACTTATCACTATCCAATTAGAAAGTCTGCGACCGTCCTGCAAGTAAGGAGATGTGTTTATTATGCTGGTGGTAATACATCACCCTCTTGGACTACCTGTGAACCATTAACTCACCTGTTTGGTGCTCTCTGTCAGTCTGAACGATGTCAGACCCACCAGGTGAATGAAACGAATCCTCCTCGCGCCCCCGTCCCGCTGCGGTAACGTCAGAGGGATAACCGAGCAACCTGACATTACTGGAAGTCTCAATTAAGTGCTGTCCCATAGAAATGTTCCTGCGGGAAGAGTCACTGCAAATCAAAGTAATAAAAAGATCAACACAAATGACTGCACACGAAACAAAAACATATGCTTTAAACCCTCAGCGATGACTCGCAGGGTAAGGTTTGCTTTACACATGCGCGAACTTTTACGTACTTCCTGTCATCGCTACAGATTAGAAAGAGCCGTTTCCTGGCTGGTGTCGCTTTTAACTTTATCTAATTCTTCTTTAAAATACTTTCCTGCAAAACAAATTGGAAAAATACACAGTACAACTGCATTAATGAGAAAAAAATATATAAAAGAAAATGAATATGAATTCCACAAGAAGTCTTTTTTTTTTCTTTTGGCGACAGTGTTTTAAAATATAAACCACTATCTTTTTTCTTCTTTTCTTTTTTTAAAAGTAGAATAAAAGGGTGAGAATTTTATGTTTGATAAATAATCAACAAATGAATGCTGTACATTAATGGAGAAACTGGGACAGGTAAAAAAAACCCAATAACTTATGGTCTTTAGTTTTGGTTTTTTTATGTTGTTAGGTCTAACTTTAAATTATTATAAGACAAATCCTTACATGGTTCTGTTCCAACCATATAAGGATTTGTCTTTGATGTTTGTGGCATAATTACTAATAACAGAGTTGGTAATATGTATTCATTGTTTAATAGCTAATAATCAAATGCAGAGAGATGTATAAACACATAGTGAGTGAGAAAGGTGACTGAAGAGGAAACACTCAATGCATCCCCTAGAAGCCAACACCTATTGCAGTGTAACTAAGGGAGGATTCAGGGTCACCGGATCCAGTCCTAAGTATACACTTTATTAAAGTTTTAAATCTAATCTTAACAGCAGAGACGGCGTCTGTGTCCTGAATCCAAACTGAGAGCTGGTTCTACAGAAGAGGGGTCTGAAAGCTGAAGAAGGCTGTGCCTCCCATTCTACTTTTAAATGCTCTATGAACCACAAGTAAAACAGCAGTCTGAGAATGAAGAGCTTGTCAGCGGTGATACAGTACAATAGGGTCATTAAGATGGGGAATGATTATTCAACACCTTGTATGTGAGGAACAGGATTTTAAATTTGATTACAGATTAAACAGAGAAAGGAGAAGGCAACATAGAAATATGCTCTCTCTTTCTAGTTCCTGTCAGTACTCTTGCTGCAGCATTTTGGATCAACTGAAGGCTCTTCAGAGAGTTTAGTCATCCAGGTCTTTATGTCTTTAAGACATTCCTGCAGTTTTAACTAGTTGGTGTGTTGAATGAAAAGATTGCATAAAAATGTGAGGAGCTAAAGCGTTTTTAACACAATCCCTTAATTTCAGGGGATTCAAAGTAATTGACAAATTAAATAACAGAAAAATAAATGTCCATTTCTAATACTTGATTAAAAAAAACCCTTTACTTACAATGACAGCCTAGTTCTTGAACTCATGGACATCACCAGATGCTGGGCTTCCTCCTTTTTAATGCCCTGTCAGGCCTTTACTGCAGCGGCTTTCAGTTGCTGTTTGTTTGTGGGCCTTTCTGTTCAAAGTTTGTCTTCAACAAGTGAAATGTATGCTCAACTGGGATAAGATCAGGTGACTGACTTAGGCATTTAAGAATATTCCAATTCTGACAAATTGCAAACTCCCCTAACAGAGGCAAAGTAAAGGAAGGATCTGTGCAATGAAAGCTGGAAAGTCACCAGGAATAGATGGCCTCCCAGCAGAGTTTTATCACAAATTTAGAGATTTGCTACGTCCATTTTTAACTGAGTATTACATGAAGCCTTTGAATATGGACGGCCCCCTGCAAGTTTTAATCTGGCCATAATATCAGTAGTTCCAAAGGCGACAAAGATTTAACGGATCCAGGCAATTACAGACTGATAAATTTAATCAATGTGGATTACAAAATTCTATCCAAAGTACTAACAATGAGGCTGGAGGTTGTACTACCACAAATTATTCATAAAGATCAAGTAGGGTTTATCAAGAATAGACACAAATCCTGCACTGGCTCCATATTTAAATGCACAGAAGGACTTGATACGGTGGAGTGGAGATATCTGTTTAGGACCCTGGAAAAATTTGAATTAGGCGACAACTTTTGCAGATGGATTAGAACCATATATTTGAGGCCAGAAGAAGCTGTATTTACGAATGGGGTACTCTCTCCTTTTTTGAGTATTTCTAGATCAACACATCAAGGATGTAATTTAGGTCCATTTCTATTTACCATCTTTTCAGAGCCATTAGCTATTCAGAGAAAATGCAGAGATTAAAGGTGTATTTGGGGGAGGTAGAGAACACAAATTGTTCCTGTACACAGATGATGTTCTGGTATTAAGCCAAGACCCTGCTAATTATATCACAACACTATTAGAGGTGACTGATAATTATTCACTGTTTTTGGAGTACAAAGTTAATTGGCATAAATCAGAGGTGATGCCAGTTTCCCAAACTTGTAGTCATAACCTAATATTGGGCTTTAACTTTAAGTGGGTGGACAAAGGAATGAAGTGTGTTGTAACTGAATTGAACCCAAATATTGAGGATATTATGGCTAACAGTATGGGAAAATTAATAAGCAAAATCAATAAAAATTTGGATAAATTGAGTAAACTAGTTTGACATTGTGGGGAAAAGTAAACAGTAAAAATGGTTATATCAACAGTCATCAGCTATTATACAGGAATGTTGCCCATGTGTATCCCGCGACAGATGTTCCAAAGCTATAATAATATGATAAAAGATTTTCTTTGGAAGGGTTCGAACCCCTTATTAACATTAATCGACTTTCCCAACCAAAAAAAAGAAGAGGGAATAGACCTAGGCAATATAGAGTATTAAAGCATCTCTTTTAAAAATGGCTAGATTAGGCAAACATTGCGCAATGAAAACCGATATAGATTGGATTTTAATAGAACAAGAGCTTGCATCTCCATCCACACCAATTTATATTTTATCACAAAAAGTAAATAAAGAGGGTAAGATGCAAAATCCTATTTTGAAATTTCAAAAATGGTGTGGTTGGACGTGCATAAAAATATAAACTTGTGCCTTAAAAGTATGCCACCTTGTGGGATAATCTTAAAATAAAAATTGGTAAGCAGACTGTTTACTGGGCACAATGGCTAAGAAGAGGTATCAGAACTGTTGTGACTTATTTGAGGGAGATTTTTTCATGTCATATGAGAATATTACAAATAAGTTTTGTTTGGAGCGCTATTGTCATTTTTGGAAGTATTTACAAATAAGAAACTGTTTAAAAGGAAGAGTTACAATAACACACGAAAGTAACCCGATAGATAAGGAGGGATTTATGCAGCACAAAATTCTTAATATATATTATTATACTCCTTCAGCGCTGTATTGAATGGGTGTTGGTAGAGAGGACTTGTGTTGGAAATGTCGACAAGTAAAGGTACTGATACACGCCCTCTGGGAATGCCGGCTGTTTTTTCCAGTTTGGAACAGTGTATTGAATTATATGCAGGGATGGATACCTTGTAATTTGTCCAGATCACCTAAATCATGTCTACTGGGAGACAAAGGAGAGATGCCACAGTTAAATAAACACCAGTTTAGAGTGTTAAGCACTGCATTGGTAACGTGCATCTTTTTTTAAGAGGGAAAAAGTTGCGGTGATGTGAAAAAATGACGAATTATAGCAACTCTGCTGACAGTGTTTACACGTGCTTCCATGGCAACTGTGTCAGACAGAATGTTTTTGGATTTGAAAAAAAATAAATTTATTAGTAAACCTTCGTGTTTGCAGCATTCAGCATACTCAGCATACTCAGATACCTGTGATTGCAGCGAGAGAGAGAAAAAACGACAAGCATACACTGATCCACTAAAGATCAGCCAGAGACAGGTGAACACCTGATCCCTAAAGGTATGAGCTTGGTGCACATTGCTTTAAAGACTTATTGCAGCAGAGATGCAAAGCTTTGTTTTACCTCCTAAGACCTGAACTCTTTCATGGCATGCCTTTTTAATTTCTCTTTGTTATTTGGGCTGTAAAAACAAAGAATTACTTTTTTTTGTTTGTTTCGACCTGATTTTTGTTTCTGAGAAAAATGAGATCCACATATGAGGACATTCACTTTAAATCTCAATGGCAGTATAATGTCCTCATAAGTGGATATCAGCCCCTTGTAGAGCAAAATTTTGCATTTTGGTCTAGACAACCCAAAATGTGTTGTGTGCACATATGTGGAGGCCAGGTCTTAGGATGTTAAATATATTGAATGATTCTAAGTAGAGAAAGTAAACAGCTTTTAATAATAAGTTTTGATTTTACATAGTGATGAATGCATCTTGTGTTTAAAGAGTGAATCACTGATCATTTTCTGTCTTTCTGCCATTTTACAGTGATGGCACGAAGAAGCCTCCGCCTGCAGGAGTCAGGCTATTATAGGGAAGACGGAGCTCCAAATATTTCATATAAAGAGACCTCATACAAGTATGTGTGTGGATGCTTTTGGGACTGCACGCTACATTCTGGATAAAACATCCTCAGGCGTACCGACGGTGTAAATCTTCACCTGTAGAATAAGTCTTTAAACTTGTGTGTCATCTTTTAGGGTCTTCCGTCGGAGAAAACATAGGAGACGAGGTCCCTTTATGAACCCTCGCATACAGCAAAGTAAGGACCACTACTCAATTTTAACATCATTTAGAATGAGAGAAGAAGATTCTGTTATCAGACTGTAAACTCCCCTGTGGTTCTCTCTTTGCAGACAAAACAAGACTTTTAAAGACCATCACCGCTTTCTTACTGCTGCCCCTTCTGACTTTTGGTGAGTGAGTCAGAACTTTCTGTCAGACAATCCTTCCTAACACACAAGTAAAACCTGGACCATTTGTCCCCACATCCACCCCTAACCTCTCTACTTCGTGTCTCTTAGGAATTGTGAGCTGCACAATTTCCATAAACAGCAAAAAAGAAGCAGAAACAGCAGACACTCAGCCAATTTTTGAATCTCAAGGTAAAGATCGCCATCTTCATCTGTCTCATCATCATTTATACATGAATGTACACAAAGAAAACAAATAATTTGTCTGTGATTTGTGTGAATTCAGGAGCCATGATCCAAAGCGGGGTTTCCTCATGGACAGAGAACTCTGTGCGCAAATGTATGCAGTGGGTGGACCCCTCCAGGGCCAGTAGAAGAGTAATCCAAGTAAGAATGACATAGTTTGCACAGCAGGATTCAAAGTGATATAACATGGAGAAAAAGTTTACATTTATGAACTCTGGGCAGCGTAATAATTAATTTCTTTCCTCAGGAATATTTGCCTGTGCCTCCAGGGAACTGCTGGCCCCTGGCAGGTCAGAGTGTAATCATCTCAGTGTTCCACCCAGTCTCCATCACTGCCCTGACACTGGGACATCTCCGAAAACACCAGTCGCCCGATGGAACCAAAAAAAGCGCCCCAAGAGTGTTTTCTGCCTATGTGAGTGACATGATTTTGTTGATAGTCTAAAGATTTCACGTTTTTTTGTATTATAATTCTCACCAAAACCTCTCTTCTTCTTCAAGGGAATGTTGACCATAGGGGCAGAAGGGACCTTTTTGGGAACTTTCCTATATGACAGCCAAGGAAGAGAATTTCAGACCTTCAACCTACCAGTGAGTACAACACAAAAACATATTAGAGCTCTTTCAGTCATGCTGTTTTTAATGGGCTCAATTTGTAACCAAATAAGAAAAAACTGATGACAAAATTTACTGGGATGCACTGACAGCTGGTCTGGGAGGGGCTACTACCGCACAATGTTATATAGCATTTACTTTTCAACCTGGTTGGTTCTTTTCATTACCACCTCTCTCATTTGTCAACAGTATACAAACAACAGCATCTTCAGATATGTGAAGCTTAGGATTGAGTGGAACTCTGGAGATCAAGACTTCCCCTGCCTGTATAATTTTAGGGTCCATGGCAAACTCTTTACCTAATAAATGATTTGAATGACTGTGTTACCTGGGTAGTAAGTGAGTGACCAATTCTTGGGCTCTGGGGGCTCACAGCTGCCCAGGTACAGGCAGGGGTCTGAGGAGACCTGCAGGAGGAGTGGGGACCATCTTATTTTGAGTGATGGTGCAGGATCCAATATATTCCCCAACATATTTTTTCAGATTAGATCACCGAAATTTCCTTTGCGGTGTTGAAGGCTGTTTTCCATTTGTTGCCCTCACGAATCCTAACCAGATGGTAAGCATTTCCAGTTTGGAAAAGATGGACGTACCCTGCAGGAGTTCAAAGGTGGAAAAAAGGAAGAGGTAGTGGAACTTGTTTTTAACTGTAATCTGGTTAAGGGTGCAGTAGTCAATACGGGGATGGAGTGTTTTGTCTCTTTTCTCAATAAAGAAAAAAACAGCAGCTAAGAGTGAAAAAGATGGGCAAATGATACCTGCTCCTGTGTTAATCTCCCAAACATGAACAGAACAGTCTAAACAGATTTAATTCCCAGTAATTCGTACAGTTCCTTTAATGTGTGAGACATGAATAATGTGCCCTGGTTAGTCATTGTCTCTTTCGGGATGCTGACTCATGAGATGATCTGAAACTGGGCCTGCACCACACTCTTTGCCAAAATGGTGCACAGCGGCAGTGCTTCGGGATATCATGTTGCATAATCCACCAGATTACACATCCGCCACTAATACAAAGCGTTGAAATGGCTCGATGAGATCCATGCCAATCCACTCAAACAAGACCTGCAGTGGCACTATGGGATGTCGCCATTCACAAACCTAACCTCCACCCTCTCTGCCTCCAGAAAAGCCACAGGTCAAACCAGGGTTTGGTTGGACCAGGGTCTGCCGTGCTGCCAAGTGATCCTCAGCAAGCGTCACAGCCAGCTCGAGGTTCACTGGCCGATAACAGCAGACCCTCTCTGCTTTTCCTGTTGGGAGCCCCTCCATCAACTGCTGCAGTGTCAGCATGTTCAGCAGCTTAACTTCCCCCTCCATTGGGCTGGGTTGCAGCCACTTGGCTGCAGCATTGTGGAGCCTCCTGATGTAGGCTAATGGACGATCCCTCAGATGAGAAGGATACAAGACACTACATCCTTCAACCAAAGACACCCAGTGAGAGCTTTGAGCCCAGTCACACCATGACAGCAAGTGTGCGTCAAGACACAAAGACTTCAGGCAAGGTGATGTTCCCTCATTTCACCCCACATTCATATTTCCTAGATAGTCCTTCAGGCACCATCAGGAGGGACAGAGAATATCTCCTTCTACTATCTGATCCCACACAGAGACAGTCAGCTCAGTCACTCAACTCACTTATTCACAGATGTATTACTCATTCACAGATTAAGCAGGAACTCCTTGGCTGGACCTGTAAAAGAGTAATACATTTAATAGATAAACTGAGAAAAGATGCAAATGTTATTTTGTTTTGTTTTTCATCTTGATCACAGTGTTGCTGTCTAGGCAAAAAATAAAAAAATTGCAGTGAGTTTGCTCAGTCAAACTAGGTCTGCTAATCAGCATCTGCTTCAGTGCTGAATCCATAACACACAATACAACAACACAAGAACTGCTCTAAAATCAGTGCCAACATGTCCAACCAGGAAAGAGGTACATATGTGCCTACCTCTCTAAAACACAAACATCCGTAAAACACGTGTAAATTCTGAGACACTGTCATGGCTTGGAGCTCTAGGTGATTTATAAATAAAAATACTGACATACATACTGACAAATACTGACATCTCAGCCAGTTCTATTGGGAGTCTTGTCAAAACTGACATCAGAAAGGTTTATATATAACAATGGGATAATCCTTTCCCAAAGGTCGAGCAACTGGTCTCCTCAGTTCAAAAAATGACTTGTCCATTTAAATCATAGGTGTCAAACTCTGGCCCGTGGGCCAAATTTGAAGCTATATATATATATATTAGCTACAGCTAATATATATATATATTGTTTAGTATTAAGCTTTGCTTGTTCCATATTCAGTTTTTCAGCAAAACTTATTTGAGTCCATAAGAAAAGAAAAGAAAAACTTTTTAATTCAAATTTATTCCTGGAGTTTTTTTTATTTGTATTTATCTTCAGAGATATGTAGTAATCCAATTTATTTATATTTTTATTTAGGGTTACTTTACGCTGTGAATGCAAGTTAAAAACAAATAAAATTAGTGGTTTTACGTACATCAGTTACGTGACGGTTCAGTAGTTTTATTGTGAAAGTATCAGGAGCAATCACATTTTGCGCATGCGCACGATATGTCGTGTTTCCGCATACGGATCGGGTAGCGCCAGGTATGGCTGAAGTTGATTTTGGGGACAGTGAGCTCTTTCAGCAGCTCGATGAGCCTGCTCCCCCGGTCACGACGCACATTCGGTTCACAGATGATGATGAAGAGCAGGACGAGAGGAGCGAGCTCCGGAGCAGGCTGGAGGAGTGCGACGATTACATCCAGAGACTCACTGAGGAGAATATCCTTGTGGCAGTTTGTTAGCACTAGCTTAAATTTGCTAGCATAGAATGCAACCAAAACACAGCCAAGAAATGACTTCTAACAGTCCTTTTTCTGCAGAATTTGTCATTTTTCTTTAATTCCCAGACCACATAAAATATTACGAAGGAAAATGAGCCTCCTGACGCGACCAAGGTAACTAGTAGACACCCAATAATGATCATTTCAAATGAAACGAAACTGTTCGCCAACCGTGATCCTGCGATGTTTTCCCTCCTCCAACACTACAGCGGCGTCACTGTTGAAGATGTTAACACCGACGGGCCTCTTCTTCAGGTCCTTTATACAAACAACATCATATCAAAGTAAGTCAGAATTCTTTATATTTTAAGTAAGTTTTTATGTATGAACGTATTTGTTGGTGAAATTATTACATCTATGGTAATGTTTAGTTTAGATCCATTCACAACATATGAATGACAATTTTTAATCACCCTGCTAGGACGTGTCGCCAGGAAATTGAAGACTGCATCTGCAGTGTGATTTTGAGGCACCATAAACCAGACGTTGAAAAGAGGTCCTCCTTTAACATCAAACCTCAGGTGTGTACCTAGAATATACAGAGCCGTGAAGAAGTTTTTTTGTGTCTATTTGTTAGAGGTGAAAATCACCAGACTCAACATGATAGAATATTACCACAATACCTCACTCAAATTGTTGTTCAGATTTTTTAACATTACAATTGCACATATTGTAATTTATCACTTTTTGACATAAAAGCCGTAAAAGGCTGATGGGGTAATATTGTAAAAAAAAAAAAAAAAAAAAACCCAACAAAAAACATTTTGTTGCTGGTATGCTAACCCTGTCATTACAACCTACCATTAATGTTGCCATAAGACTAAGTTGGTATGCTGTCAGTCTGTCATTAAATGGGGTCAAGCTGGCAATAACATCCAGTCTGTTACTGATAATACGGCAAATACCTGTAATAAATCATTGAAAATTAAATACATGTGTCTGTCTACAAAGACAGAAAGGCACGATTAATTTTACATTTGCAAGGGGTGAGGGCGTTTTAGTTTTCTACACAGGTAAGTTTAGAAATTCTTTTTGACTTCATTATCAGAAACATAACTTTAACAATAGCATTTTGCATTTACTCAGGTTTTCATTGTCTTATAAAGTCGTTCATGATCTGAAACATGTAAATGTGACAGACAAATCTGCAAAAAAAAAAAAAAAAAAACAAGTCACGAAGGGAGAAAATTCTTTTTCACAGCACTGTATATTACTATTGTAAATATTTTCAATATCACAATTAAGTTTCTGTTTAAAAATACATATTTCTCCCTCTATAAAGAATTCCGCTTTTACTTTGGACGAAGATCCACAGATGATGTCTTCCAGTAGTGTGAGAACAACAACAGAAGCCTTTAAAGTGAGCACATGCTGTTATTTCTCATTCAAACACACTGAAAACGAGATGTGTAGGCTCACAAGTAGTAACTTATTGTGTTATGTTTTTGTTTTAGGTTGTTGGGAGTGTCTTATATTTCACTACTTTCAGTGTTGATAAACTTGGACAGCCTCTGGTAAATGAAAACCCCCAGCTGACCGATGGATGGGATGTCCCAACGTATCTTTAACATGAATAAATTAAACATTTATTGCCTATGAAGTGCTGTAGTCAGATTTATTAAGGTTTAAAAATTCACAGCTGTGTAGACAAATGCATTATAGCTTCCTGAATTGCTGCAAAGTTATCAGCAAGTCTTCAACCAAGTCATTGGAACTGATGGCCAGGAAATAGAAATGAAAGACAAAAGGTAAGACTACAAAAATTCCATAGCTTTTCCTGTTTACAACTCTTCTTTGTTTGTGTGCTGGGTGGAATTTATAATGTATAATGATTCTGTCTCTGCTCTGTTCACTGTAGACCCAAGTCTATGTGTTTCAACTGTGGTTCAAGCAGTCACCAGCTGAGAGATTGTCCCAAGGTACCATTAATGATCTGTTAATCCAGGATGAACACAAGGACAGAACATAATTTAATATAGTAATGTATTTTTTTTCTCCTAGCCTAAAGACATGGCTGCAATTAATGAGAGAAGAAAGGAGTTCAATCAGAGCAACAACCAAGCCATGCAGAGTAACCAGAGATACCATGCTGATGAAGTGGAGGAGCGGTTTGCCAAATACAAGCCTGGAGTCATGAGGCAGGACTTTTTTTTTTTTTTACTCTCCACACATCTTTATTTACTCAAAATTTTAATTTAATTACATAATGTTGCAAAAGTGCATATTTTACAGGGTTATATATAGGGATGGGTATTGATAAGATTTTAACGATTCCGATTCCATTTTCGATTCTGTTTAACGATTCGATTCCTTATCGATTCTCTTATCGATTCTTTTTTTTTAAAAAGGAGAACACTAAAGTCGATTAGCTTAGAACTGTGTTTTATATCTTCTCTTTGAACAAGATAGAAATTTAGGAGTAACATGGCCTTACAAACCCAA